CCGCACCGGCCTTTCTCTCTGGTGGGGGGGGGTTGCGATGCGATGTTAGATCCGCGCAGGCAGCCAACGTCTCGCTCTGTGTTAGTGGCTGTGGGAAGTCAACAGCCGCGGCCTGGACTCATTTGCACGGTCCTCACTCACAATCAGGCAGGAGCGAGAGGGGAGAGGCGGGGCGACTCACTGAGAAGCCTCTGCAATGGCCCAGGCTGCCCAGCCTGGGTCGCTCCCGGAGGATGTGGCTGCGACTGGAAGGGGGAGGCTTTGATGCCAAAAGAAAGCCAGGACCGAGAGGGAGAATTGCAAGGATAGATGAACCCTCGCTTTCCCTAAAAAACAAGACCTACCCGCTGGCCGGCCAGCCAGGCGGGGCCATCAGGATGGACAGCCCACCTTTAACCCCCTTCCTCCCGTTCATTTTCTCCCATTACATTGTATCTGAGAGTAAAAGAGCCAGGCAACCGACCCTAACTTCTCTTCAAGGGATGAAGCTCAGGGTGACGGTCCCGGCGGAGTCTCGTGCGCTAACTAGAGTTGGGGTGAAGCCTCTGGACACTCGGGACCTGCAGAAGGTGCACCCCAGGGGCTCAGTGTTTCCAGTCCACCGTGACCTGCACCCTGCAACGTCCCCGCCAGGCCTGTGTCTTCACAAAGCCTCCGAGACCTGCTCAGGGCGGCCTCCCCTCCAATCTCAACCCTTCTGGCTCAGGCGGCTCGTTTGAAACCTGCAGGGGGTGCCCATGACATTGCTTTTAGAGTGTGTATGTGTGTGTGTGCGTGCGTGTGCACACGTGCATGCACGCCCGGCGCACACAGGAAAAGAGCTAACATGCTGCGAGCTTTCTTTAAGGCACATATATATGCACTGTATATGTGCATGCAATATACAGGCACATGCTCCATCTCCCCAGCTAAACAGTTAACTTCTTGTGGGCAGGGGCTGAGTGCTGAACTTGGTTCTATGCCCCCAAGAAAGCCTGGGAAGGTGCTGGGCGCTTAGTAAACACTCAATAAATATTTCTTAGCTGCCAAGAGTCCCTGAGAAATGAGTAGAAGTCATTTTGGAAGGCGCGCTGAGCGAAACGATGTGGGAATCAGATTCACTGGTCAACAGCTGACTGCCTGCTGTACTGCGTGCCCAGTCTGGGTTGCCACGAATTCATTAGTGTGTCGTGGGCAGAAAAGCATGCGACGGGGAGTCGGGGGCCAGAATCTCATCCCACCTTGTGACCGGTCAGCGTGGCGCCCGGGACGAGTCTCCTCCCTTCCCGGGCCTTCCTCTCCTCAGAAAAAGGAATCGACTAGCTGTCTGCCAGCCCTCCGACGTGGCTAGATGACTCTATTTCACAAGGACACGCACTTCCTATTTGTGACACAAACCCCCACAGAAAACAAAATCATCAATAAGTTATGGGGAAAACCGGGTGCCGTGATCATTTGCACTGTCTAAGGGGGCTCGATGCAACCAATTCCCCCTGTACACGGCTGCCTCTCCGGGGCGACAGAAGATTCCAGGCTGTCAGGGAGCAAACCAAGCCGTCTCTCCCGGAACTGGATTGACAGGCACCGCTGAGCTGCGGGGCCCGTGTGCGCTGACAGGCCCTGCGCGATGGAAGGCGACTATGGCGGCGGGTGTTGAGGTGCAGAACTCAGGGGAGGGGAGAGGCAAGCCCGGAGAGTCGCCTGTGCAGGAGAACTGGCTAACAGCACATCGCTTTAGACAACAGAGCAGAAGCTCTTTCTGACGGGAAATATTTCCGTGTTTTGGGGACCACATGAAACACCCGCTTGGATAAGCCAGTTCTGCTAATAACCTGGCTGGCTTGGTTTTAAACGAGGCAGAGCCTTGTCAAGCACTTGGAGATGCAATGCGGGCATGAGTTTCTCCCTTTTCGCCTGGTTACTGGGCATCTTGCAGGCCTGTTCTTCTTCTTTCTTCTTTTAACCCTCACCTGAGAATATTTTCCCATTAATTTTTAGAGAGAGTGGAAAAGAGACAGGAAGACAGAGAGAAATATTGATGTGAGAGAGACACATTGATTGGCTGCCTCCTGCATGCGCCCTGACCAGGGCCCAGGCCAGGGAGGGGGGGCTGCAACTGAGGTACGTGCCCTTGACCCGAATCAAACCCGCAGGTCCACGCTCTATCCACTGGGCCAAACCGGCCAGGGCCTGCAGGCCTGTTCTTGACAGACTGATGTGCGTCGTCCTGGTAAACTCCGAGCCTGTGAAACAGCAGCGCTGGTTTGATCAGGTGGTGTGCGTGTGAAATGAAAGCAAGCCTGGCTCTGTTCACCGGAGAACGCAGCCCGGGCAACAGCCCCGGAGGGTGGCGTGAGTGCGGAACCTCAGGGGCTGAATCCTTCCATAGAGACGCGGCCTTCAGGTTCAGACTTAGAACCGAAATGCGCTCACACCCTGCATGCCACCATGAGGGGCCACCAGACGGGCCCCCAAAGAAACGTGAGCAGCCGATTTTTTTTTAAAGATTTCTAAAAGGCTCCGCAATCTTGAGTACTTTCAATCTTCTTCTTTTCTGGAAAGTCAAAACCCCAAAGTTTGTTTGTAATTTAAATTTGTATATAGGAAGCTGTTTGGAGTGGTGATCATGCTCAGCCGGGAGCCGGAACACGGCTTCTACCGCAGGCTCCGCGCTGCCAGCACCCGGCAGAGTCGCCGCAGTGGCCGCGGTGCCACTTGCAAGAGGGGCTGCAAAAGGTGACGGCCAGGGCTCCTTCTCCCCCTCAGGCCTCCTGGCTGACGTGGGCCTGGCTTGGGTGGAGAGTCCCGAGGCGCGGTTAGCACTGGAGTGTGGACATCATCAGAACTATGACAGGAAGTACCCACAGCCCATCAGGCACTGGGGGAGGAAGGAGAAGGGAAGGCCCGCTGGCTCCAGCCGCCCTGGCTGGGGAGGAGCCAGAGCAGTGAGAGGGCACACAGTCTGTTCCCCCCACACACACTCACCCCTACCCCTGTCACAGGGATGCAGCCACCGCCCGCCAGGCAGTCCTGCGCTGCATCTCACGCCCTGAAGACAAGCCTCTGGCCGTCAGTCAGACATCTGCAATCCCCAACCTAAACGCAGGTGCACAGAGCGCGGTGGGATCTGTTCTGGAAGCCAGGCAGCTGGTGCCACCCAGAGGCCAAACGCTGTCCTCAAAGTGGACTGAGGCCAGCACCAGGAGAAAAGAAAAGATATTTGATTTACATACGTATGCAGGGTGTGCAGAAGTAGGTTTACAGTTGTGAGTACACGAAACAGAGTTTATCCTTGTGTTATTTATTAATTAGTGTGTTATTTTCTATAGGAGCAGCTATAAACCTAGTTTTGCCCACCCCTGTATTATATTATGTATGTAGTCTGTATATATACACATATCTGTGTAGATGTGTACATAATGTATGTATATGTCTAATGTATGTATGTACATACTAGAGGCTCGGTGCACGAATTCGTGCACAGGTGGGGTCCCTCGGCCTGGCTGGCAATTGGGGCCATCTTGCCCAGTCCCGATCAGGGCTGATTGGGCCCGGCTGGCAGGGGGCGCAAGGAGGGTAGAGAAACTACAGGAGGTTGGCTGTGGGAGTGCACTGACCACCAGAGGGCAGCTCCTGAGTTGAGTGTCTGCCCTCTGGTGGTTAGTGCGTGTCATAGCGACCGGTTGACCGGTCGTTTGGTCGACTGGTCTTGACGGTCGCCTAGGCTTTTATATATATAGATGTGTGTGTATGGCATCACACATGACTGACTCACCATGGAGAACAGTAACTCCAAAACACCGGTTCATATGCAGGTAAGAAAACCCCAGAGTGACTGCCCGGGCAACAGTGATGACCTAACACTGAAGTGGCTGATCAGAGTGGGGGGACTTGATTCTCCCCTTGATCCCAGAATGATGAACCCCATCTGTCTGGCCCATCTGCCCACTCAGAGTGGCTCTGCCACCTAGAAATAAGTGAAGGGTCTTGTTCTACTTTGGTGTGTGAGGGAAGGTGCCCGACAAGCTGCTTCCCGGGGTGGGGAGCCAGGCACACGGCGAGGGGAGGCAAGAGGAGAGTTCAGACTAACCAAGCCACTCAGCGAGTTCCTCGCGATGTTTAGAAACCCCAGGCTCCCTGGACCCCCAAACAAGACCACCAACAAAAGCCTCTAGTCTAGGCTCCAAGCAGGCCTGGAGCTCAGATAACTAATCCTTACTGAATCCCTGGTTGCCAGGGCGCCTTTCACCGCCCAGAGCTGGGAAATGCGCATTTTTAAAGGCACACTGCCCTCCAGCGGCGCCAGGTAAATCTGCTACTGACCGCTTCCCACAGCCAAACCTCAAATGGACTTTGCCTGGGGCCCTGGGAAAGCGCGGGGTGTTGGTTGATCACCAGCCCCGAAAGGAGATTAAACGAGGGAGGTGCAGTACAAGGGGCGGCGATCTAGTTAGAAACCTCGGGTCCCTCCCTCCTGGCGGTCGGGCCTCCCAGGGCCCAGATTCGCGCTGTTTCTTAGTGTCGCACCTCTGACCAGAGTTCGATGGAGTGGAAGTTACCGTGAGAAGCAAGCGGTGCTCCCAGGGGAGGCACGAGCGCTCACTGCGCGGCAGCAGCCGGTGTGCAGGGGCAGGAGGGGTGGCAGGTGGTGGGTAAGGTCACTGTCTGGGTGCCTGAGACCTGCCGCCCGTGGGCCCCGCGCAGGCTCCCTGTAAATAGCAGCAGCCAGCATTGCGGGCTCACCGCGTGGAGGGGGCTGTGCCAGGGGTCCCGCGGGGTCACCCTGTTCAGTCTTCCCAATCGCTCCCCTTAATGAGCGCCCTTATCACCCCACTTTGAGGATGAGGAAGCTGAGGCCAGAGACGATGCCACCTGTGACCGCATGGGGGTCCGGGTCTGCCTGGACCAGAGCGGGAGCTCCCAGCGCTGCGCTGGGACCCGGGCCGTGGGGCCAGGGCTGGTCGCGGGCACCCCCGGACGAATGGGCGCTCAGCGAGGGGCGAGCTCGAAAGGGCTCTCACCTTGACGATGAGCGGGTTCTGAAACATGGAATCCCGCACGACCCCCAGCCTCTCGTTCTCCATGCCCGGCCGGATGTCGGCCACGGTCAGGGGCCGCCGCGGGGGCGGGCAGATCTGGCTGACCGAGCGGCGCACCGGCTTCTTCGTCCATCGCAGGGGGTCCTGGCGGGAGCTCTTGGCCTCTGGCATCCTGGGGGTCGCGGGGAGTCGACCCGGGGCTGGACCCGCTGCCCTTCCCAGCTTGGGGCCCAGAGCGGAGCTCCGGGGAGCCCACCACTTGGACCCTACCACTTGGACCGCGGGGTGGGCCCCAGACTCCGGGCTCCCTCCGGAGCGGGGTGCACCTCCCTCGGAAGCCCCCTCGTTTCAAGGAGACCTAACGGCCCTTATAGGTCCCTCTGGTTCCTCGGAGCACCTTCTGGGAGCCGTGCTGCGGATCCGGGAAGGAGAGAAAGTCAAGAGCACCCCTTAGGGAAGAATGGAATGGCCTGTCTCCATGACGACGGGACGCCAACGGTTCTACGTGGACCTTGTTTGTTTCAGGAAACTATTGGCGGCCATCAAAGTGGACGTTTTCAGATTTTTTTTCTTAAATAGACGTGAGAAAACCCCAAGAATAATGACCACTGGTGTTAAAAAGTGACAGGCTCTAGAGGGCCATTTAGTTTCCCAAGTCAGTCTCTCACCACACACACGGGATAGAGCCCACATGTTTCACTCAGTGTTTCAGGGTGAGCCAGGCATCCTCACTCCAGGCCTGATGTTCCTGCTAATCCACTGGCTGACCTCAAACTAGTCGACCTCTAGGGTCCTCAGTGTTTATCTTCTGTGAAGAAGGTAGGGAGGAAAGTCTAGAGTTAAATGAGACCAGTGGTACCCAACGTTGTGCAACAGAACGAAGGGAAGTTGAAAAGAGACTCACTGAGCCAGAATATCTGGAAATGGGACCTGGGAATCTGCATTTTAAAATACCTCCTCCCTTCCTTCGGTCCCGCCCCCCCCCCCCCCCCCCCCGCCTCCGGAAAAGGCTCAAAGCTGCAGAAAAGTTGGAAGAAGAGTACAATGAAAACCCATGCAGATTCCACCTGGATTCACCAGCCCTTAGTATTTACATTTACTGTCTCACTGTGTCTCACTGTGTGTCTCACTGTGTCTCACTGTGTGTCTCACTGTGTCTCACTGTGTGTCTCACTGTGTGTCTCACTGTGTGTCTCACTGTGTCTCACTGTGTGTCTCACTGTGTCTCACAGTGTGTCTCACTGTGTGTCTCACTGTGTGTCTCACTGTGTCTCACTGTGTGTCTCACTGTGTGTCTCACTGTGTGTCTCTCTGTGTCTCTCTGTGTGTCTCACTGTGTGTCTCACTGTGTGTCTCACTGTGTCTCACTGTGTCTCACTGTGTGTCTCACTGTGTGTCTCACTGTGTGTCTCACTGTGTCTCACTGTGTGTCTCACTGTGTGTCTCACTGTGTGTCTCACTGTGTCTCACTGTGTGTCTCACTGTGTCTCACTGTGTGTCTCACTGTGTGTCTCACTGTGTGTCTCACTGTGTGTCTCACTGTGTCTCACTGTGTGTCTCTCTGTGTCTCACTGTGTCTCACTGTGTGTCTCACTGTGTGTCTCTCTGTGTCTCACTGTGTGTCTCACTGTGTGTCTCACTGTGTCTCACTGTGTCTCACTGTGTGTCTCACTGTGTGTCTCACTGTGTTGTGTCTCACTGTGTGTCTCACTGTGTCTCACTGTGTGTCTCACTGTGTGTCTCACTGTGTCTCACTGTGTGTCTCACTGTGTGTCTCACTGTGTGTCTCACTGTGTGTCTCACTGTGTCTCACTGTGTGTCTCACTGTGTGTCTCACTGTGTCTCACTGTGTGTCTCACTGTGTGTCTCACTGTGTCTCACTGTGTGTCTCACTGTGTGTCTCACTGTGTCTCACTGTGTCTCACTGTGTGTCTCACTGTGTGTCTCACTGTGTGTCTCACTGTGTCTCACTGTGTCTCTCACTGTGTGTCTCACACACACACACACACACACACACACACACACACTGAATTATTTTGAAAATATCTGCAGACAGTGTTATATTTGACCCAAAACACTTCAGCATGTATCTGCCAAGAACAAAGAGGTTCTCATACGTAACGCTAATGTCATTATCAGGACTTTATTGTGATACCGTAATGGTGCCTCGTATGCAGCCCACATGCAAAGTGGGATCTGCACGGTCTCCTAGCCGCCCGGGCGACTGGTGCAGTGTTTTGGGGACACTGACCTGGAGGCTCTCTAGTTTGTCTTCTAGTTCCAACCTTTAGTGGGTTTGTCCCCACCATTATCACCGTTAACTGCTCAAATATCCACGAGGCTCAGGGTAAGCAGTTCACCACGGACCTGCACTTCACGGCTTACATGCCAACAGCGGACACCACCAGCATTATTTCCAGAGCAGACAGGCTTCCACTGCTCATCCAGGGCCGGGAGCAGCCCTGGGGTGTCGACATGTGGGTGGGTGTGATGTGTGCTGGGGTTTCTCCAGGCTGCTTCACTTCCCGACTTTCACAGAAATGCAGGCTGTGCATTTCCCCATCAAAGCTGCTTGGCAGCTCACACTGAGGTCAGGTGGTGCCATGAGAGGCAGGAGAGGAGCCACGTAAGTCCTCTTGGACAAGTTACACTAAAGCCCTAGTTTCTCACCCGCAAGGTGAGGCCAGTGATACCTAACGAAGATAACACAGGATTGAACGAGAAAACAGGTGCCCACGTGGTTCTGTTCACTATGCAATAAGGCTAAAACTTTGGTGGTGCGTATGTAGTGGTGAACTTGCTAGTCTGGGTAAAGCGTTACTTTTCATCCCAGCTAAGTTTCTTGGGGACTCAGTTGAAATGGGAGGACTGGGATAGGTCTGGAAGGCTCTTTCTGCCTCATCTAAGCTGGCCGTGCAGCAGACCCCGCCCCAGCCCGCCCCTGCCTACAGCTGACCTCATACCACTCTCCCCTCCACTCACTGTGGCCCAGCTGCCGGGCCTCCACTCAGCTCCTCCCGCAACCAGGTTCCGGGCCTTGGTGTTTGCCTCCAGCCTGGGGCGATCTCCCATCGAGAGCTGTGCTCGCCCTTTTCATTCAGAGCCTTCCCTCCCATCTCAGCAGCACGCCCTGTCCCCGCTCCGCCGCGTCACTGCTCATGTTCCTTCCAGGGCACCGTGAAGCTGTCTTGGTTGATGTGTTTATCTGTCTCCCTCAGGTTAGGACCCTCACCATCTTCACGCAGAAATCATTACTAAATGGGATGCAGGCGTGAGCTAGCCCGTGGAGAATGCGGTCCCACTTTCTCAGTTTCAGGATCCCGCTCTAGCCTACCCCTCCCCCCCAGCCCCCCCCCCCCCCAGGAACAAAACGGGCAGAAACCACGCCTCCGTCCCAGTGCCAGTCCAGCTGCCAGCAAGTCAGCGTGGCAGCGGGGTGCCTAGCGGACCGGAAGTGACGCGGTCCACTTCCGCTTCCACAGCAGCAGCACTTCCGGGTCAGAAGAAACGCGGCGGCGCTCTCGGACTGCAGGTAGGAAGCGGATTTTGTTCCGCGTTTTTTAGGCGTGCGTGTAGACACCGAGCGGCGGTGGTCGTTGGTCGGGGAGGCGCCCGCGGCCGGGCCCCCGGGGTGCGCGTGGCGCCCGTTTCTCCGCGGCCGCTGCGGGCCCCTTCGCGCGGGAACCCTGGGGTCTGTGCGCAAAGGGGGCCGAGTGCCCTCGGGGCAGCTCCCCTTCCTGCCCGGCGCGCCCCGCCCAGAGCCCTGCGCGGCGGCGGGGGGTCGGGGCCGGGGGCTCGCAGAAGCGGAGATGAACGCGAGTCCGTTCGTTCCGGAGGCATCGAGCGCTGGCGCCAAGGGCGCTGGGGAAGCCGCTGGGTTGTTGGGAAGCACTGCGGGACCGGGACCGGGACCGGGTGAAGCGCTGAGAGGCCCTCCTGAGTGACTGGCAGACTTTAGTCGCGTCTTAGCTCAGCAGGGAAGGCGGAGGAAGCGCACTCCTGGGAGAAGGAGCCGCCTTTGCAAAGCCCGCGGATGAACGGGAAGGAAGGGAGGGAGAGAGCTGGAGAGGTGGGCGGGTCGGCCTGGCCTAGATCCTGAAGGACGTGGCAGGTCTGGAAAGTTTGGGGACTTGATCTTAAGAATAACGGGAAACCTTAACGTGGTTCTAGCTGGAAGGGACTATTATTTAAAAGGTTGTGTTGAACTCAAGCAACCAGAAGGAGAAACTTGGGTATTTACACGAAAGAAAGAAACGGGTGGAAAGTAGAAGAATGTTCAGTGGCGTCACCTGCTCTGTGCATTGTTCGGAAGAGGCCTGGAAGATGGGCCAGGAAGGCGCCTGTGGAGTGTAGGGCTCAGGGTCCTGGCCCTCTTACCCGAGCAAGCTCAGGAGTAGGAGGGTGGAAGCGACAAAGATGTGCGCTGAGAAGTGGATGGCAGGTGAGGAAACGGAGAGAGCAGTTTCTCTCAAGAGATGCTGCTGTGAGGGGAGGAAAGAGATGGACTTCAGGGTGAGAGGATGGGTGCATCCTTTTACCTCTCCTTCCAACTCCAATCCTCCTATATAATAAAAGGCTAATACACAAATCGACCAAACAGCAGAGCTACCGGTCGCTATGACGCGCACTGACCACCAGGGGGCAGACACTCAACACAGGAGCTGCCCCCTTGTGCTCAGTGCGCTCCCACGGGGGGAGTGCCGCTGGCAAGTGCAGTGGCGGTAGCGGGAACCTCTCCTGCCTCTGCAGCAGCGCTAAGGATGTCCAACTGCAGGCTTAGGCCCGCTCCCCAGGGAGTGGGCCTAAGCCTGCAGTTGGACATCCCCTGAGGGCTCTAGGACTGCAAGAGGACACAGGCCAGGTTGAGGCACACCCCCCCCAAGTGCACAAATTTCGTGCACCGAGCCTCTAGTTAAGAAATAAAAGATTACAGCCATAAGTGAAACTGGCTCTGTACTTGTCCCAGATCCCTGAATTTGCCAATTGCAACCCCCATACCTGTGTTTACAGTTTTATTGCATATGTATGCATTGAGAAAAGATACATAAAACCGTTTGTGGATTTTAGACTCAATATATGTGATATCATAATGTGTATCCTTTTGACCAGGGAAAGCTTAACTGAAGCAGTGATATTCTAGGCGAGCTCTGGGGATGGAAGGAGGTAGGGGCCGGGGAGGCTGCGGAGAATGTTCCAGACACAGGGAACCGGGTGCTATCAGACTTTGAGCCAAGGGGAGATGGTGGCGGGTTTGCGGGACGAGGAAAGGGCATGTGAGGCTGGAGCACAGAGTAGGAAGGAGAGGTAAAAGGTGACGCTGTGGGGAGCAGGGCCTGGCCGTGCGGCAGTGGGAGCAGGCAGAAGGGGGTACCGTGAGCCTCCTGAGCGTGTAGAATAGCATGCAATGGATAGTCATGATTCCAGCTTGTCACTTGCCGTACAATTTCATTTTCTGTGATGGTTTTTTTTCTCCTGAGAAATGTTTAAGATGCTTTGCAAATAAGCCACTGTTGTCAAGTTTCCCTCTAGGAGTAAAATGGAAGGTGAATTGAGCGGATTGGACATCCACACTCCGGTTTTTGACAAGAAAAAGAAAAAGTACTCTGTAGATAAGGAAAGACGTCGGATGCATGCCCACGGAAGTTTCAGAGACGCCCCCCTGGCAAGCGAACACTCGCACAAAACGAAGAAGAAGAAAAAGAGGCAGGACCACCAGCGCCTCGCCTCGTCTCCTTTGGAAACATCGGAACTCTGCGAGGAGGCTGCACGGGCCCCTTCTCCAGCCAAAAAGAGGAGAAAGAAGAGTGCTTTGGGGATACAGGACGGAACAGGCGTGTACGTCATGGTGGATAAAGAAAACATCGAGAACATGCCCAAGAATTTTAGACGGGATGTTGACATCGTTTATATTGACATGAGCAGGGAACAGGAGTCGCCCAGAGAGCCCGAAGCAGGCGAGTCGCCTGCAGTTACTAAGCGACGGGAAGAGCCGCGCAGGAAAGTTAGGGAGAAAAAGAAAAAGAAGCGTCGGCGGGAAGCTGCGTCCTGCGATGCTGCGCTGGGGGGGCCAGGCCCGGGCGCCAGCGTCCTGCCCCAGCCGGAGTCCCCGCTTTCTGCGGGCCTGGGAGGCCCCGTCACACAGCTGCCAGGCGCCGCCCACGAAAAGAAGCCTGAGAAAAGAAAGAGGAAGATTTCACATCACCAGGGATGTGAGAGTCCCGAGGCCGTGAATTCCGAGGGGGCACAGGTGGTCCATGGCCTGGGGACTGCAGAAGGCAGGAGGGAGCCCTGCAGATTGAAGAAAAGGGCCAAGAAAAGGAGGCGGAGGGCTCCTGTTGAAAGTGCTCTCTCGGGCCTCCCCACCAGCTTGGAGGACCCGCTGCTTGACTCCCTGGGAGGTAATGCTTCCTCCATTGAGGAGAGTGCGACCCCCCGGCCCCGAGAGGAGGAAGACCAGGCGTGTTCGGAGGAGGCGCCGAGGTAACGCGGCCACTGTGCCTTCCGAGGGTGCCCATCCTCTCCTGGGTCCGGGGCCCCTGTTAGCACGTCCACATGAATGCCAGGGCTCCTAGAGGCAGGACACGTGCTGCTCAGCCGTGTGACTCACAGGTAGCTTCCTTCCTTCACATGTAACGAACAGTCAGTTAGATTAGATTGCGCTGGGAACTATTCCAGCCTGAAATTCTGTAACTAACTCTAACGCATTGACAGCCCCAAATCACCTTTGTTTGCACGTAGATAGAGGAAAGGAAGAGATGACCCATAATGTTACCGGGCAGGGAAAAACTTGAATTAGGGTCTAAGAAAAGAAATGTTAATACTGGTTATATAATTATCATTTGAGGGTAGTGTCAAATGAATAAAAGCAGGGATTTTTCTTTCTTTTACCCACTTTGTTGCTCCGTGTCTGGGACTTGGGGCAGATTCCCCCAGCCCCCAGTTTTTACTCAGTGGCTTTCTTACATTTGTTAGGCTGTCCTGGCTTCACCAGCTCCACCACGGTGACATGGGAGAGCCCACCTCGGTGGTGCTGATAACGAGGCAGCAATGCGCCAGGACTATGGTTCTTTTTCTTTTTTAAATATGTTTTTATTGCTTTTAGAGAGAGAGAGAGAGGAAGGGAGAGGGACAGAGAGTTAGAAACATTGATGAGAAACATCATTCAGCTGCCTCTTGCACGCCCCCTACTGGGGACTGAGCCCGCCACCCGGGCCTGTGCCCTGACTGGGAATCAAACCAGTTACCTCTTGGTTCAGGGGTGGACGCTCAATCACTGAGCCACACCAGCTGGACTAGGACTGTGGTTCTTAACTTATATTGGGCCGTGTGCCCTTTGAAGACTGTTGACCCTTAGACAAATGCACACCATTTGCTCCCAGTTTCCTGTCTGAGTAGTTAGTTGATACAGTTGAACATATGAAAAGGAGATTTGAACATCTGGCAGAGAGTTTGGGGATGAATTAGTTAGTGATCGATACATAAAAAACCAAGCAAAGGGGAAATGTGACCACATTACTGACCACAGCAAAAATAACTAACCATGGAGACCCTGGATCATTGAACTAACAACCATTATTATAAAACTTAACATTGCAAGGGTTGGGGAGAGGCATCTCGGGTGTCCGTGGGGGTAGAGCAGGGCCTAGCCTGTTAGGAAGTAAATAAAACAACAGTAATTGGGAAACAGGACTCTAAGAAGTAATCTCTGGTGGAAACGGCTTCGGGTGCCACGTCTGCCTCGGAGGCCCCTCAGGGATGAATCCAAGTGAGCAGTTACCCCGAGAGCCCGGACACCCCCCACCGAACCACCTCTTGTCCAAGTGAGTCATTTCAGGAAAAGAATTTAAAAACTAGAGCCCAGCCGGTGTGGCTCAGCAGTTGAGCATCAACCCAGGAATCAGGAGGTTGCTGGTTCGATTCCCAGTCAGGGCACGTGCCCGCGTTGCAGGCTCGATGCCCAGTAGGGGGTGTGCAGGAGGCAGCAGGTGGATGATGTCCCCCTCTCATCGGTGTTTCTGTCTCTCTATACCTCTCCCTTCTCTCTGTAAAAATCAAAAGCATTTAAAAAAGAAAAGTAAAAGCTAAGTGATGTCTCAATGCTAATCAATCCAATTTCCCTCTTAGGTTAGAACCTCCTGACGAAGAAAGCAATTTGGATTCGGCCCGAGATGCCGAAGTGCGGTCTCTGTCCGAAGACTTGGGAGACGCGGACGATGCAGACGTGGACCTGGCCTCCGCCGTGAGGCAGCTCCGGGAGTTCATCCCCGGCATCGGGGCGAGGGCCGCCACCACGATTAAGCGCATGTACCGGGATGACTTGGGCCGGTTCCAGGAGTTCAAGGCGCAGGGTGAGCTGTGGCACCTCAGTGCTGCCGAACGTCCAGAGCCCCCCTAGCGGCTTCTGTGAGCAGCTCAGGTTTACAGAGTCACCATGACCTCCTCCAGCTACGGCAGCTGTATCTCCATCCAGAATTGCTTTTTTAAATTGAGTTTGTCAGGGTCACCTTGATAAAGAAAATTATATAGGTTTCAAGTGTGCTTGGTAGTACATCATTCACCCAGAATTGTTGTCTGAGCTGTGAAGTGAAACCAGCGAAGTGCACAGGTTTCCCCTTTGCCTAGCCGGCCAGGGAGGCAAGGAGGACTGGTCTGTCACCCCCAGACCAGGTCAATCCTGAAGGAAGGGGAGGAGGAGGAGGAGGAGCCTAACTGGTTGTGGCCTGGGAAGGATACGGAAGTGAAAGAACACTAGCTCATCAGCTTCCAGGAGGTGTCATTTCTTTCCCTGAGATACTAACTTGAGGGTGAGCTGGGGGAGTGGGCTGGTGCCAGACAAGCGGGCTTGCTCTTCTTGATCTCTGTGTTACCAGCGCCTCCAGGAAGCCACCTGGATTTAAGAATAAAGTGCAGATGTAAGGCCAGTGCTAAAATGAGCCGTGTTTACCGAGTGCCTGCTGTGAGGCCAGTACCGCTGGCCAGTGAGGAAGAGGGGGGCCTTATGGACACAATCGCGTGGATAAATTAAGTGAGAAAAACATAATTTATAGAGCAGTGTCTATAGAATGATCCCTTTTATTTGCGTACCAGAGGCCCGATGCACGAAATTCGTGCAAGAGTCGGCCTTCCTTCCCCTGGCTGCCGGCACCAGCTTCCCACTGGCACCCGGGACCCAGGCTTCCCTCACAGCCCTGGCTTCGTCCAGTAGGTCGTCTGGAAGGATGTCTGGTCTAATTGGCATATTACACTTTTATTATAGATTCTGTGCTGAAATTTTTGAGTATTTTATGAAATATTTTAAAAACAAGTCTAAGAATAGAAACACACTGAATATAACGCAGTTAACGCGTAAGGAAGCTGAGAGCTAGAGTAATGAGGAGGAGGAGAATGCCGGGGGCGTGTGTCCCTCCCTGATGCGTGTGCACAGAGAACCACCGGCTCACGCAGCCGTGGGGAGCAGGGGCAGGGGAGAGTGAAGGGGTGTTTTCTGAACGTCCATTTCTGTACTCTGAATGTTTAATGACTGTCTGTGCACTTTTGAATATAAAAAAAGAATAGGCAGTGGACGAGTCAGGAAGGCCCTGGGAGTGGGATGACCAGGGAGACCTCGGGAGCAGAGTGAGGCCCAGCTCCAGCGCTCCAGCCGGGCGGGGGCGGGGGCGGGCGCGGGGGCGGGGCGGGCTCATGTGGGGACGGGTGGCGGGTCCCTGTTGAGCACCTGCGAGGTTTGCTCTTGTTCATTATTGACCACATCTACTTTTTCTCCCACCTCAACTCCTAGGTGTCGCCATTAAATTTGGCAAGTTTTCTGCGAAGGAAAATCAGCAGTTAGAGAAAAACGTGCAGGAATTTCTGTCCCTGACAGGAATCGAGAACGCGGACAAGCTGCTGTACACGGACAGGTACCCGGAGGAGAAAGCCGCCATCACCAACCTAAAGAGGAAGTACGCGTTTCGGTTGCACATCGGTGAGTTCAGGTGCTCGCCCTGCCCGCCCTCGGCCTCCCACGGTGTGCGGTGGCCCCTGGGAGCACTCAGCGCAGCCTGTTGGGGTCAGGAATGTGCTCGTGCCTCCTGGGCACAGAGCCTCACAGATTCTAGGGAGAATGAACTGGTAACTTCTAGCTTTCCTACCGGGTAATAATTACTGTTAGGGCTTCTCTTCCTGTTCTTCGCGGCGTATTGCCTTTGCTGCACCAGCACCTCCTGTAGGCAGCAGGGTCTCCTGAGCATTCTAAGTGCAGCCGGGACCCCTCCTGGAGGTGACGCTTGGAGATCAAGGCTGTGAAGCCATAAGCATTGGCCTGAAAACCTCTCTCAAATTTAAAGAAGCTAATTTCTGAGGGTTTTGCTGGGATGTGCCCAGGAACACGGCCGCGCGAGCCCTGTGGAGGGCAGTTGCATCTGCACGGAGCGAGGCAGGCTTATTCGTTCGGAGAGTTCTTGTGGAGAACCGTTGGCAGGTGTCCCCCACTAGCCTCCCGCTGATTCACATTATGTTAGCATTACTTGGCCTTGTGAGGGTCTTTTCCGAGCGTTGGGGAGACCAGAGCTGGAGCCACATACAAAGTGTCCAGTTTTCGGAGATCTCCAAGGCAACGGGGGATTGTGTACATCCGCTTCCCAGGACAGCTTCCCGCAGGCCCCGGCATCCCAGCCTTGCCCAGGTCTAGGATAGTTAGTGGTGAAAGGCCTATTCGGGGCCCCTGTACCACTGTGACCGCCTCATGCCACACCGTGAGCCTGCTGACCATCTTCCTCTGACGTAGGGAAGGGCATCGCCCGGCCCTGGAAACTCGTGTACTACCGAGCGAAGAAGATGTTTGACGTCAATAACTACAAAGGCAGGTAAGACGGCGTCGGCGGCTGGACACAGAACGTCTCTCTGGTCTTTCTGACACTCACACCAGGTCAGAAGTCAGGCCTGCAGATCTGTGTGAAAGCAGGCGTGCACCTGCAGTCAGATGCTGTCTTCGTTTCCATTTCCAACTCGAACCTGTATGGTCTCCCCTCTATATCTTCTGCTTTTTCTTTCTTTTTTTTTTTTTTTTTTTTTTTTTAAATTGTTTTTATTGATTTCAGAGAGGAAGGGAGAAGTAGAGAGAGGTAGAAACATCAATAATGAGAATCATTGATTGGCTGCCTCCTGCACGCCACCTACTGGGGATCAAGCCCACAACACCCTGACCGGGGATCATACCATGACCTCCTGGTTCACAGGTCGATGTTCAACCACTGAACCACACTAGCCAGGCCTCCGCTTTTTCTTTGCACTCTCATTCCCACACTCGCTGTGCTCTGCCTCACTGCTGCTCTGGATCTCGGCTTTGCTCACTGTAAGCTCCTTGTGAACCCCGACGTTCCTCCTCAGTGCAGCGCTCCCTGAGCACCTGGCCCCGTTCTTGGGTCGCAGTAGATATTGGAAGGTGGAGGTAGATGTGATGTTGTGTGAATTGCGCCTAACTACAGAGTAAATTTTAAAATGAAAATAAAATTGTGACATGTTCCCTTTGTCGTAGGTACAGCGAAAGGGATGCGGAGAAGTTAAAGATGTACCATTCCCTCCATGGCAACGACTGGAGGAAGATCGGGGGTTTGGTGGCTCGAAGCAGCCTCTCCGTCGCCCTGAAGTTCTCCCAGATCAGCTGCGGTGAGTGTGGGCTCTGCCGCCTGGTGAGCTCGCCCGGGGAGCGGAGGGGCCGGCGCGCAGGAAGACGGGCGGCCGTCTGAGAGAGCATTGACTTTTTTTTTTTTTTAATATTTATCTATAGAAAGAAACCATGGTGCTTGGAGTAAGACGGAAACCCAGAGACTAATCAAAGCCGTTGAAGAAGTGATTCTAAAGACAATGTCTCCCCAGGACTTAGAAGAGGTAGATTCTAGACTCCAAGAAAACCCCGAAGGCTGCCTGTCGATTGTTCGGGAAAAACTCTACAAGGGCATATCTTGGGTAGAAGTCGAAGCTAAAGTCGAAACCAGAAATTGGATGCAGTGTAAAAGTAAGTGGTAAGTTTTAAGGCTTCTTATGCAAATTGCAACCAGACATGCTCGCGCTCTCTCTCTCTCTCTCTCTCTCTCTCCCTCCACACACACACACACACACACACACACACACACACACAATTCCCAGAGGCTGGGTGGATAGGTGAGGTTATAAGAATACATGGCAGCACCAGGTGGAAAGCCTTCCATGTTGAGAGTTGCTGTCCCTTGTTCGCTGCTGCAGCCCCTCAGTGCCGGCATCTGGTATAAGGCAGCGCTGGACCGGCCCGGTTCACTGTCCGTCTTCCTCACAGGCACTTGCTGTTTGATGCTTTGACTTCTGATTTCTTCAGTCTGCCCCTTTCTAAGTTCCCTTTCTAAGTCCTGAGTAACAAGGTGGTTTTCTGTTTGTAGCATTAAAAATAAATAAGGGGACAGGAGGAGTGAGGGGGGTCAGTGGGGAAACAAGGGGACATTTGTAATACTTTCAACAGTAAAGGTACATTTAAAAAAGAGCTAAATAAGCATAATGCTTGAAAAAAACTAAAACTGACGTTTTAAACAGAAGAGAAATCACAAACAGTGCTCAGTAGAGCTCTGCCTTTTAAATTGTGCGGTTCACCTACCTTCACCCAGAGTGGGTCCTACTCTCCGTCTTAGAACTTCTTCGTCACCTGGGATGTATATCCTCATCCTGGTTGCTCTGTGCGCTCTGCCTCGTGCAGCTCTCCCTGCCCTGAGGGTCTCCGAGCCCGCCCCCCAGCGGGGCCTGGCGGCTCAGGCGTCCTGACTGTCAGAGGAGAAGGAAACCCCGGGCAGGCGCGTTTTATGCTAAAAGTAAACTCTTAGGCGATACTGTTTATTGCTTATGCACCTTACATTGCGTGGCAGAGTTATTTTAACAGAGGACTGCGCTCAGGGAAATACACTCCAAAGGACAGATAATGTTGGGGGGGGGAGAGTGTAAGACGGGGAACCAGAGCCCTTCCCACCCAGCATTTTAGATTGAGAAAAGGATGGGGGATGAGCCTCCATTGGAGGGTGGACGATCGGTGTTAAACAAGGGGGACCACCTTCAGAATCAACGTGATTAAATAACATGCAAGACTTGCTTTGCTTCTCAATTTGAAGGAAAAAGCACTTGTAGCCTGAACATACATTTACTTCCTGTAACATTGACATGCCCTCAAGAGACACATTTCAAACCGGTGTACGTGGATGGCTGTTAGTAAGCGCATGGTGCCATTACCACCTCTCTCCCTGAGCAAAGAGCTGAATGGAATGGATGCTGATATGTCCATCAGATGGTGACAGGTTGTGCTGTGCAAGACAAGGACTTTTTAAATATTTTAAATTGGGTTGCTCCTCTCATTAGCAACTTCGCCCTTCCCTTCGCCGTTAGCTCTGGGCCTTCGAGGCACCATCAGGTCATTCATCACTTTGCTAAATTTGTCTCGGTTGGTTTTCCAGCAGCTGCTCACAGTAGAGGAGTAATGTCCGTCTGTTCATGAGCAACTAAACTAAAGCGGGTGCCACAGCGCCCTCTAGCAGCTGCTGAAAGGCCTGCTTCCCCCTTTTAAACTTGTTTATTATGGAAATTTTCTGACACACGTGGATGGTGGCAGTTGTGGGCAGGGAGGCGTGGCAGGAGTTGGAGAGTGGTTCTGAGGAGGGGGTTTAGATGAGAAGACAGGGAACTTGAGTGGAACTGCACCTGACAGTGAACTATACTGCTCTTGCTTTGAATGCAGGACGGAGATTCTCACCAAGAGGATGACGAATGGCCGGGACGTGTACCGCGGGGTGAACGCCCTCCAGGCCAAAATCAACCTGATTGAGAGGTACGGGCCGGGAGCGGCGCTGCGCTACCACTGCCCTGGCACCGAGAACAGCAGTGAGCTTGAAAACTGAATTTTTATGTTTTCTCATAGGTTGTATGAAATAAATGTGGAAGATGCTAATGAAATAGACTGGGAAGATCTTACTGGTACCATAGGGTAAGACCATCCTATATAATAAAAGGCTAATATGCAAATCAACTGAAAGGCGGAATAACCGGTCGCTATGATGTGCACTGACCACCAGGGGGTAGACGCTCAATGCAGGAGCTGCCCCCAGGTGGTCAGTGTGCTCCCACAAAGGGAGCGCTGCTCAGCCAGAAGCCCCGAGCTGGGCTCAAAGCGGCAGTGGCGGGAGCCTCTCACACCTCTGCGGCATCGCTAAGGATGTCCAACTGCTGGCTTAGGCCTGCTCCCTGGACATCCCCCGAGGGCTCACGGACTGTGAGAGGGCACAGTCCGGGCTGAGGGGACTCCCCCCACCCCCTAGTGCACGAATTTGTACACTGAGCCTCTAGTCTGTTTAATATTAAGCTACTTAAAATATAAGAGGTGACTTTAAGAAATGACGATCAGATTTTAATAGTCATGCTGCATGTGGATTTTACCTACAAGTTGTTTTATGTGTATGTGTATTTAGATCTCCCACTCCACCCCACCTAAGACACCTAAGAGGAGTGAATGAAATGTGTACCAAGTCCCTCTGGGCAAAGCAAATTGTTGAGAATGGTGGGGTGCAGGTGTTGTGGGCTTTGGAAGTGGGCGCTGAGGGATTGTGTGGCCTTCAGTTTGGAAGCTGGAGAGGAGCAAAGCCCGGCAACCTGGCTGACTTTCAGGAGCATGGCTGCAGGTGGGACGTTGCCGTCAATCAGGAAGGGTTTAACCAGGTTCGGTGGGTAGTTTCTTACACCTTGGGATGTGGCCAAAGAAAAATCCACCTTTTTTTAAGCTGGGAGAACTGGAGTCTTAGTGACAGGCCCTACTGGGAGTCACAGAGACATGCCCATGCTTCCAAACGCTTTCCTTTGCTAGTTGTCCTGAGGGGTGGGCACACCCTTCAGTATCGTGGGTCCCTGAGAGGGGATGGTGTCAGGTGCTTAGAGGAAGGGGACCCTGCCTTGCACCCCACCAACTTCCATCCTGAGGGCTATGTCCACAAAGCCCACCCTTCATATTATCAAATTTTGTTGTTGTTGTTAATCCTCACCCAAGGATATCGATTTCTAGAGAGAGTGGAAGGGAGAGGGAGAGACAGAGAGAAACATAGATTGGTTGCCTCCTGCATACACCCCACCAGGGCCCGGGAAGCTGCAACCAAGTCCATGCCCTTGACCAGAATCGAACCTGGGACCCAATCATCGTTTGCCTCTACATACTTAACAGATAAAATTATCACGCTAACCATCTTAACTGCTAGATTAATTATTGAAGCAAATAAGTCACACTTTTATTGTTTAAGGCAAATTGTCCAGGAAGTGAAGTTAGTGATTTTTCACTTTAGAAACTAAGATTTGGTTGTTTCGTTCTTACTTGCTATAAAGTGCAAGTGTATGAGTCACCAAGACATCATCAGCATCTGCTTCCTTTAGCCTCGCAAAATAAAAATCAGGGCCCTGTGCCTCCCAGTGGTGACCAGTATGTACCCTAAGCGTAATGGGGAAGAGGGCAGAGTTTGGAGTCAAATCACCCAAGTGTCCCCTGCCCTTTATTAGCTGTGAGATCTCGGACTTCTCTATGCCTCAGTTTCCCTGTCTCTAAAAAGAGGAGGAAGAGCAGTGGCTCCCTGGTCGAGTGGCTGTGAGGCTTGTTGGTTGCTGTGTGGGAAGTGCTGAGGGCAGGGCCAAGTCCAAGGTGCGGCTCATGTTACATTTTGTCTTCCCAGCTGGTACCACTTAGATTATTCCAGATAAACAGAACCCATCTTGCTGTACTGCTGCTTTTTTCCTTCTGTGTGTGTTTAACCAGGGACCGTAGCTTCCCATGTGTCTTTCTTGTACCACTGTTGTGGCCATGATGACTTCACGCTCAAGGGGAGGAAAGCTCAGAGCTGGGCCTCCCCTCAGTCACTGTGCTGTTAGTTCTCAGAGCTGAAATGATCAGGTTTTAGACTGACACTGACCTTTCACCTTTCCTTCCTAAAGCGATGTCCCTCCGTCTTACGTTCAGGCTAAGTTTTATAAGCTGAAAGCCACCTGTGTGCCCTCCTGGCAGAGGAAGACTTTCCCAGGTCAGTACGTGCAGTGTGTGAGTGTTGAGGGCGGTGTGTGGTGCCGCGTGCTGGGCGTGCCCCTGGGCAGCCACTTCCCTCTGAGAGCCTCAGCTCCTGCTGTAAAACGGAGAAAGTTAGCGTCAGCATCCCTACCGACAGGACCTCCTGCAGGGCTGAGTCAGATAGCGACCCTGTCCATGTCAGCAGGGTGCTCGGGGCTTCGCGAGCGCTCAGCGAATGCTCTCGAGGGTTCCTGGGTTGTCATCACGTGCACACATGCACACACACCACGTGCACACACTCACACCGTGTGCACACACTCACACCACATGCGTGCACATACACTTCTAGGAAAAACGTAAGATGCCGCTTCCTTCTTTGCAGCCGTCTGTGGGCGGATAGGTACGTGGTTCCCAGACCCAGGTCACCAGAGTCGTGTGAGGAGCTCGTTTAGGGTGTACAGAGCGGCCCCATCCAGACATCCAGGACGCCCATCCCAGGCGCTCGGGGCTGGATTTCCCGTCAGGCTTGCAGGAGCGTCTCAAGCGGCCCCCCAGCCCCGTGTCTGGAGACCACGGGCTCGGTTGCTCCTCTGCCTGGGATGTGAGGAACCGCGTGCGTTCAGCAGACGCCATTCCCTGGGTTGAACCCTAGCCTTGCCCTGACTGAGTCCATGACGTTGGGGAAGTTTCATGACGTTTCAGGAGCCTGGGTTCTCTCATTTGAGAAACAAATAGCAGCCCTAGCCAGTTTGGCTCAGTGGATAGAGTGTCGGCCTGTGGACTGAAGGGTCCCACGTTCGATTCCGGCCAAGGGCACATACCTGGGTTGTGGGCTCGATCCCCAGTAGGGACGTGCAGGAGGCAGCTGATCAGTGATTCTCTCTCATCATTGATGTTTCTATCTCTCTCTTCCTCTTCTTCCTCTTTGAAATCAATAAAGAAATATATTTTAAAAAAAATACAAAAGAAACAATTCCCTTTAAAAATAAAAAAAGAGGGAGAGGGAGAGAGAAATAGCAGTGCCTGCCTCCGAGGAGTGTTGAGAGGGGTGAGTGAGCGAATGTAAGCAAACCAGTGAGAACAGGGTCTTGCACATGAGAACAGCATGGAGCAGGCGTGTCAGCAACGCCCTCTGACCCTTGACCTTGGGAAGAGGCTTTGCACAAATCAAAGTTCAACCTTTCTCTTTAGAGATTATAGACCACCTTTATGAGACGAGTCTGCCTTTGCTCAAAGAGAAGCTAAAGAAGAAGGTGGAGAAGAGAGGCGCTGTGCCCCCTCCCGCAGCGCCCCGCCGTGTCTTCCTGTTCAGGGACATCTTCCACTGCGACGACGACGACAGCGAGGACGACGACGGCGGAGGCGGGCAGAGCTAGGCGATGGCATTCTGCTCGTCCGGTTTCTGGTTTGGCTGTGTGTACATACGAGTGTCAGTAGCTGCTCTCTGTGCTGGGGGCTGGCATCCAGACGCAGTGGCCACACAGGGAGGTGTGAGAGTGACGCCCTTGCTGTGGCGCATTGAGGATGGACTGGCATTGTCCGACGCGATTGTTTCAATGTGAAAAGGAGGAGGAACATGTGAGTTGATGTAACACGTCTGTCCGATGGCAAACAATTCTGGTTCCTGTGGATCCACAGTGTCCCGAGCCCCCAGGGCAGCGGAGGTGGCGCGTCCTGTAAGCATGCGCTGTGTGGACTCGGCTGTGCGGCAGCAGCAAAGAGACGTCGACAGCCCGCGTGCCTGGCCGTGGCTTCTGCTCCTCGCTTGTTTACGTGTGTTCTCGGCGGCGAAGTGCAGCTCAGCGTTAGAAGGAAGTTGTGGGTGTGTGTCGCCTCAGCCCGGTTTCCGTTGTCATGCACATGGCACAGGTGCCCAGCTCGTCTTCCTGGGGGCGTGCTGGTTTAAAGATGTTCCTGTCTGATGCCCTCAGAGCCAGCCACTGAGTTCATGTGGTGTCAGCTGCAGGGAAGCCAGCGCTCCCTTCCATTGCTTCCAGAAAACTGGCTTTGCTAGACGTGGGAGGTGCCACGTGGGTGTGGGGCACACTTGTGCCTACTGGAGTCTCGGGCTAGCCCAGCAGCCAGGAAAGCAAAGCACTCCCGAGGTTTCAAACAGGATTTCCTGTCGGGGTCTAGGCTACAAAATTGTGCAGCAGGATGGGGGAGCAAACGGGGAGGTCGAATACCCAGCGATGAGCCCCGAGGGGAAGTCGCCGTGGCCTGTGGCCCAGCGCACCCCGTGCTCCTCCCCTGATGGGTGGTCTGGAGCCCGGGCAGCTGCACCGCTCCTGGCACTCGGCCTCAGCAGGATGTGTGTCTCCCGAACACAACGCTCCTGCCTCCCCTGCCCTTACGTCTCACAGGTGTCTCCATGGCAGCTGAGCAGGACCCAACTGGCCAGGCTTCTGGCCACGTGTGTACATGATGGAGCACAGGGAGGAGCATGTGGGTGGACAGTGTCCTGTCACAGGGGTGTCGCTGTCCATGCCAGGATGCAGCCCCTATGCCCTGGGTGTTCTCATTGATGTCACTTGTGTAACATCATGCTGTGTGTTGGTTCATTCATCTGTAACGCTCCCCATTTCTCCAAACCTGCCGTCATTGGAGAAGGAAGATGAGCGACGCGGTTTAGGGGCCCTGGGTCTCCCGGATCCCCAGCACCCGCACAGTGTGGTGCAGATAATACACACTCAATAAATGCTCGGGAAACAAATGAGTGTTTCCTTTTTAGAAAGCATTTTGCCTTTTGGTCCTCCTCTCTGTCAACCATACCAGGCTCCATGCTGATGGGAATAGAAATTGTATGTTCCTTTTGGAGGACAATCTAGTGAAATACAGCTGATCCCTAAGAACGTACCTGTTCTGTGATCCTGCCTGCTACTCCCTGGTTGCAAGTCTCGTGGGGACCCTCAGCATTTAGGAAATGCCCCCTCAGGGGAAGGAGGGAGAGCGCCCCCTTTTTAACCTCCTCTCCACTGCAGAGTCCTGGCCTCCGTTGCATAACGAAGTCTGTGCGTGAAGATCAGTAGCTAAGAAGCATGCTTATTGAAAAGTGTCACGTGACCGGGAGCTGAAATAAGGCCAGGTCGGGACTGTTGGGCAACACTTGGATTTGTTCCTTGGTCTTGTTTCCTCTGAGATAGGGTCTTTCCCTCGCCTCATGTCTGTTCGCTGCCTGCACCCCCTTCTCCCGCGTACAGGCGGCGCGCGCAGGCCCTCCTCTGCCTGAAAGTTGGGGTTGTCCACACAGCGAACTCGCGACGCAGCCGCAGACAGGCAGACCTGGTGCCTGCTTTCTCTGCCTAACGAGATATGGGCCTGGTGTGCAGGAATGGCTCCTTTATCACACGCAAAACAGAACATGCACATGTCCCTAGGAAACCTGGTGAATAACTGTTTATTCCTAGAATGGAATAACCTATGTAATAAAAGTATAATATGCAAATTGACCAAACAGCCAAACAGCGGGACAACCACCCGGACGACCATTTGGAACCACACTGTGACACCCACTGGTACCAGCCAAGGCAGGTGCGATGCAATTGGTCGGGGGCCCGGCTGTCGCCCCATGATTGCCCCGCAGAGGGAGGCCCAGGCCACCAACCAGCAGACTGCGGCGGGGGGGTGGGGCCTCCCTCTGTGAGGGACACCCGGGTCCCGGGTGCTGGCAGCCAGAGGGAAGCCGGTGCCAGCAGCTGGGGGAAGGAAGGCCTACTCGTGCACAAATTTTGTGCGTCGGGCCTCTAGTTGTGCAGTAATGTTAAATGCTGACAGGTTTGATTAACATAAGAGTTTGTATATTTTCTTGACTTTGTAGAAGTAAAAACATAAAGGAAATTGTGTATATATAGAACCATTAAAATGTGTGGGAAGAAGTAAGACCCAGGGTGGCTGGTTTTTCTCTGGGCGGTGGGTTGTGAGTATAGAGCAGCCATGGGCAAACTACGGCCCGCGGGCCGGGTCCGGCCCGTTTGAAATGAATAAAACTAAAAAAAAAAAAAGACCGTACCCTTTTATGTAATGATGTTTACTTTGAATTTATATTAGTTCACACAAACACTCCATCCATGCTTTTGTTCCGGCCCTCCGGTCCAGTTTAAGAACCCATTGTGGCCCTCGAGTCAAAAAGTTTGCCCACCCCTGGTATAGAGGGTAGACCCTTGATGCTAATGCAGAAAATGGGCTGCCGTCTAAGGGATCTGCAACGGAAGGCGGAGCTCAGGGAGGTGCGTCTCACGTTTTCACGTTAAGGGCTAATCCAGCTGCTTGGCCACCGAGGTGTGGCTTCTCCAGGGTCCACGTCAGTGTTCGTGCACACGGCCCCTGGGCCCGGGTGCCTTCCTGCAGCCGCGTGTTCCAGCAGCCCAGACACCCCTTCCAAGGAAGAAAGGCGGCTCCTGTGGCTCCTAGGTCCTGGGTTTTGTCCCTAACGCCCGGCTCTGAGCGCTCCCTGCACGGGGAAGCAGGGGCTTCTGGAGCTGGGATTTAGCACAGCCGCCCTTGAATGGCGGAGAGGGTCGCTACCCAGGAGAAAGGGTGCCCTCCGCAGAAGAGGTGAATGGACTGAGGAAGCACCCACAGAGATGACAGTGACTTGTCTACATTCACTGTGCTATGAATTTGACCCAATAAACGTGTACTTGCTAAAAGTGATTTTTATAGCTCTCCCCTATATCTCCCACACGCCTCCGGCCATACAAATGTTACCTTTGCCCAACAACCTTTTGGCCTCTAAGAATCCAGGATGTGGGAGGGGCAACTGGCAGTGTCAGTGCAGGAGGGAGGAGGCTGCAAGGGAACCATGGCTTTGGGATGTGCTGGGAAGAGAATGGACAGAGAGAAGAAAAAGCCACTAGAGATACAGATTTGTTTGTTATCTCTATGAAATGGACAACCCCAACTTAGAGGGTGAAAGGGCAGAGGAGGAACCACAAGTACTGTCTGTACTTGGGAAGAGAAGAGGATTCAGGAAGTGAACAGATAAAGAGAGGAAAAGAAACCTATCTCCAGGAAGCCAGACCAAGGAACAAATCCAGTGGTTGCCTAACAGTCTCCACTTGGCATTATTTCAGTTCTTGTCCCAGTTCCTGATCATGTGACACTTTTCAATAAGCATGCTTTTTAGCTATTGATCTTCGTTTACAGACTTAGTTATGCAACACAGAGGCCAGGACTCTGCAGTGGAGAGAAGGTTAAAAAAAGGGGTGTCTCCCTCCCAGAGCCATTCCCCACCCACCCGCAAAACACTGAGGGTCCCCATGAGACTTGCAACCAGGTAGCCATGGGCAGTGGCGCCTGGTCTCGGGCTAACCCGCTGAACCTGCAGGCATTTGATCACACACAATGAGCTAAGATGCAGCCGTGAGCAGTGAGATTTTCCACAAACAACATATCTGCCCACTCCCCGCCTAGCCAGTGGCCAGAGTCCATTGTCGCAATCCCTCTCCCTGCACACCCTCCGCTCTCCACCCTCTCCCTCTGTGACACTTGTCTGTTCAAGGCCCCAAACCTGGTGAGCCCTTCCACCTGCCTCCTACCTGCCCCGAAAGCTCTGTATTCCTCGAAGGAAGTCACACAGCTCAGCTGGCTGGCTTCACTTTAATGACTGTAGACCTCAAATGGACACATGACCTTACCAAAGGAGCTGGCTTTAAGTCTCTTGTAGGCTTGCTTTTCTTTTTCTTTTTAAAATATGTATTTTATTGATTCTGAGAGGGAGGGAGAGAGAGAGAAAGAAAAACATCAATGATGAGAGAGAACCACTGATGGGCTGCCTCCTGCACGCCCCACACTGGGGATCGAGCCTGCAACGCAGGCATGTGCTCTGACCGGGAATGGAACTGTGACCTGGTCCATAGGTCGACGCTCAACCACTGAGCCACACCAGCCGGGCTAGGCTTGCTTTTCTTTCCTGATATCAGCTATTTCAAACCTTCTCCCTCCCACAGCCCTCCTCTGCCCTGCTCATGACTCACTGAGAACGCTAAAGCCATCCGGCATCGGTTCCCCTGTCCTCCACCAAACAGGTAAATCTGCCCCCCACACTTGTTTCTCCCACTACACGCTGGTTCCCTCCTCCTGAGCCCCTGGCCTGGCCCCTGACGTCAGATCAGAGAATTTGATCCTTTGCTGATTCGTCCTCCCAACTTCTAGGTGTTCTTGCCCCTCGGGGCTGCTTTGAGGGCCTCCTCACCTGCTCTGATGCCTTCAAACCAGTCCCTGCTGACGGCTCCCAGATGGGTGGCTACAGTCGCAGTCCTCGAGGCATCTGCCTACTTGCCATCTACCTTCAGGTGTCTTACATGTCAAGTTCAACTTGTTACAACATTTTAGTCCCCACATTACTCCAGGCTTTCTCATCTCAGCCTGTGGCGGCACTTTGCTGCCTCTTCTCCCCGGTACCCCACATCCAGTCCCTGAGAAAACACCCCCTGGACTCGGTCTGCCTCCACCGCCTCCACCGGGATCTCAGGCAGCATCCTCTCTGTCTGAGCCGCACAGATCCTGCCGGTTATGCATCAGCCCTTCTCCAATCTAGACTCCCCACATTTGCAACATCGCTCCCATTACTGCCCTGTTTGGGAACCTTGACGTGGTTTCCCACGGCATTTGGGGGAATGTTTGTCATAATGTCTACAAAGATTGCACACAATCTTCCATCGCTTATCTTCCCAACCCTATCTCAGGCCCCTGTGCCCGTTCCCACACAAAAACTTTTTCTTGCCCCGTCTGGTTTGGCTGAGTGGATAGAGCATCAGCCTGCGGACTGAAGGGTCCTGGGTTTGATTCCGGTCAAGGGCACGTTCCTGGGTTGCGGGCTTGGTCCCCAGTGGGGTGCGTGCAGGAGGCAGCCAATCAATGATTCTCATCATTGATGTTTCTATCTCTCCCTCTCCCTTTCTGAAATCAATAAAAAAAAAAAAATTTTTTTAAAAAACAACTTTTTCTTATTTAATTTGTATTGGTTTCAGGTGTACAGCGTCATGGCGGGACAGTCACACTTTACTAAGTGCTGCCCCCGTGTTTCCAGGACGCACCTGGCAGCACGCACAGTTATTACAATATTATTGACTGTATTTCTGATGCTGCAATTTCTTCCCTGTGACCATCTGTAACTGCCAATCTGTACTTCTTAAGCCCTCCACCTCTTCACCCAGCCCCTCCTTCCCTCCTTCCCCTTTGGCAACCACCAGCCTCTGTGTCCATGAGTCTGTTTCAGTACAAAAAAAATTTTAAGGGAAAAAAAGGAAACCCATCAGTATAATCCGCTATGTGAACAAAGAATAAAAACTATTTGCATTTGATGAATCCCAAATCCATCCCATAAAAACAGCCACTTCCCCAGCCTGAGGACGAGTAGCTGCAAAGCCTGCAGACTTCTTTCTGAAAGTGAAACTCTGAGATTGAGGAAACTTCTCTGCATTATCGCCAGTGCAGTCAAGCAAGACCTGAAAGTAGACCGACATGGACTGGAAGGGACCTGAAACTGCCCTTTCCCACAGATGGCGTGACTGTGGATGGAGGAGACCCAAACGATCTATCGAGAATTATTGGAACTGAGTGAAGTTGCTAGAGACCAGATCAACATACAAAAATCAATCCCATGTCTATATCAGTGGCAAACAAAATTAAAAATTTTTTTTAATCCTCACCCGAGAATATGTTTTTATTGATTTTGAGAGAGAGGAACATTGGTTGGTTGCCTTCTCTACCTGTCCCAACTGGGGATCCAACCCG